GCTCGGATGATGTCGACGACTACGAGGATCGCTACTGTCGCCAGAACCCCGAACTCTGCCCCATCTGCAAGTCCAACGAATGCAACGACGCCTGGAGCACCGAGGAGTTTGTGAGCTGTATTTTCTGCAATTCGGAAAATAATGCGACCTGCATCACGGATCCCTCTGTGAGCGGCTTGGGCCGGCGACACTGCAAGGGCCAGTGCCTGGTGGCACTCCATGGCGAACACCTCATCCGCAGCTGTCTGGACGACAAGGAGCTCTACGATCGGGACGACTGCAGCAGCGATGAGAGCGGCACCAACTGTGCAGCCTGCTCCGGAGGAAGCTGCAACACATTCGCCTTTCCCTCGGATCGCCTCAGCTGCCACACCTGCGTGGACGCCGCCTGCACGAGCAGCCGCGCCCAGTCCTGTCTGGCCTACGACCAGGAGGACTACTGCTTCGCCAAGTACAACGAGGGGGCTGTGGAGCTGATGGGCTGCGCCAGCAGCCAGAACAGCACCAGCCTCGAGCAGTGGCATGAGGCCAATCAGCTGTGGACCTGCACCGGCAAGGAGTGTAACGATCTGAGCCGCCTGCCCGAGGACGACGAGTGCGTGTCGTGCGACTCCAGTAAGACAATGGAGTGTGCCCAAAATCCGGAAGCTGTGAACACCACTGTCACGTGCCACGTCCCCAACTCACAGTGCGTCGCCCGCCTGGAGAACGGACACACAATAAGAGGCTGCCTCAGCGCTCTGAGCAGCAGCGCCGGCGCCGCCTGTGAGGCCAACGGCATTTGCTCCGTCTGCTCCGGCAACAAGTGCAACATCGAGATCTTCCCCGCCAACCGACGCCGCTGCCACATCTGCAACTCTGTTGCTCAATTGGACTGCTCCACGGATCCCAACTACCTGGCCGTTTGTCCCATCTACGACGCCGACGACAGTTGTGTCTCGGCCAAGGACTTCGACGGCCATCTCAAACGCGGCTGTGCCAGCGAAATCCAGTGCGTGATCACCAACGATGACTACTGCGAGGTCTGCAAGACGGATGGCTGCAACACGGCCAATTTGCCCGGAGCAGCGGGACATCTCTCCGCCATGAGCCTGGGCCTGACCCTCATCGTTTCCCTGGCCATCAGCATGCTGCGATAGCCTCTCATTCACCGAAAGATGTGATCGATAGGTCGCCATACTGTACAATTAGTTAGCTTTATAGAATAGAATAGATTGCTCTGCTAGTTCTGAAGAGCCCTAGATCTTCCCACGAACACGAACGATTTGTAAATATACCAAATGAAAATTTCAAATAATTTTGATAGCAATAAGTACGACGAAGAGAGGGAATATTAGCCCAAGTCTTACGTTTTCGCTGTGGGGCATTTCCTTCAAAGCGAAAGGATCGCAGAATACTTTTAGGACTATTATTCTCTTGTCAAGAAGGAATTCGCGAGTATCTTAGGGTATTTATACATTGTTACACTCATCTCTAGACTTCTTGCTGCGTTTTTCCAATGTCTGCACTCCGTTCCAGTGTGTTGGTTGGCCATAACGCCTGTCTCGCTTCAGACTCTTTAAATTCTTGCTCCTTTTTCCGTCCAGACAGCTGACTCCCGACTCCAGCCACCCTTCGCCTACGTTTGCCACGTCAATTTTCCGCTTGAATAAAGTTGAAAAGTGAAATGGCCTGCTAGCCCATCCAACTCGATTTCCAAAATCCAAAAACAATGGCACGCAAAAAACACGAAAAGAAAAAGTTTCCAAGAAATTGCAAAACGCAGCCATCGGAAATAAAATGCAAATGCAAATGCGTTCCTTTGCCCTCCCCGGCATGGCCTTTCTTCGGTGCGTCGCTTAAAGCAAATTGAAATTTGCTCAGTTTGCCAAAATACGGAATGAAGAAAGGACCAGCACGGATTGGCTGCCATGCCCATTCAACGGGCAGATTTGTCCGTTTGGCTAATCGGCTGCCGCACAGTTTTGTCATTCGAAATTGCCATCAAGATTAGGTCTCCCTCTAACCACAATCCATCGGAGCCATGGCATCGCCCGCCCGCCCCGAACATGGACTCCATCGAGGACTGGAACAACTTTCTGTGGTCGAAAGACTTGTCGCAAGGCTATTTGATTGGGTTTTAATTGCTGGCATTTGGCCGGTCACTCTGGACAGCGGGTCTTTGAAAGAGCCAGCGATAAGCAATTGCGTTTTAGATTTATGGCCAGCAATTAAATGGCTGACAACGATTTAATGCCAAATTACACAATACCAAGCTCCGCATGTGGGCGGCAGCTCGAAGGGGCATGTCATGTGTAATGGCAAATAAATGAACTTATTGAAAGCTCTTCCAGCAATTGAAAGTGCTTGCGGTCCCAGAGAAGAGATCAGATTTCAAGCGTGTATTTATCGTGCACTGTATTAGAAGTAAGCAACAAAAGTCACTACAAAATAGCAGGCGTTTGCTTTTTCATCTCTGTTTCAAACGAATCGAAGTTTGGGACTCACGTTTTGCAGAAATTCGGCTTGCATCGTTAATAATCGATGTACATAAGTGGAAGAAGCTTCGGATTATCCGATGCAAATCCTGGATATGAAGTACACACAGACGCCATCCTTCTGCGTTATTCGAGCAACTTGTCAGGTTGTTAACAGTACATATTAGTTTTGTCTGAACAAGACTATTATTTCATTAACAGTATTGCCTACCCAGAGGACCACATTTCCCGTGAATTAGCTGTATATATACAATACAGCAGCTTAATCAATATCCTCTCCATTCTCACTTCTCAAAGTATGGACGTGTGTAGTCAGATTCGAGCCTGTCACCGGATTGATTTTGTGTTATTTGAGAATCCCAAGGATGCTGTATGCCAGATTGAAATGTGGCCCTTGCAAGAGTCCGAACCCTCTCAACTGATACTCTCTTCGCTTAGAGCCTTGCTCATCAGCATTCACCGTATAAACGGGCGTTCTTCTCCCCATTCATACCAGAATAACGTATCTAATGGCCCCCAGATCCACCACCTCGAAACATTCCAATGACGTATATGTATCCATATTTGGAATATGAGAAAGCAGGAGGTCATTATACCTATTTATATCAATATGTGGAATCGTTTCGAGGCCGTAGTAAAACCCAAACTAAAGCGTATACATTTTTGATGCCTGAAAACGCCCAAATGTCTATTATTTTACTGCGATATCCACCTTTTGTGGAATACCCAACCTGCCTCTGCTGTTGTTGTTGTTGTTGTTGTTGTTGTTGCTATTGATATCTCCATGCAGCTGTCACAACAAACTGTCTGTTAACCCAACTGCCTGCCCGTTGACCAATTTATTTAGCTGCATTTATCACGTCGCCCAGCAGCGCAGCTCCTTCCCTCAACCCAACCCACCCCCACCCCCACATCCACAACTCTTGTTGCTGACAGCGACAGCCACATTTAAAATCTATTAGTTCGCCGAATGCCGACTGGACTGGACTGGATTGGATTGGTTGCTCTTGTAACCAGCGTCCATCTACCAGCTCCAACGACAACTGCACCACAGATCCGGGGCCTGTTTCTGGTTTTCGGGCCTGTTTCTGGCCTGGCAGAGCAAACAAAATTTAATAAACCGTTCCTGTGGCCGAGGAAGGGGCCGAAGCTATTCGTGCGCTGTAAATTATGTGCTATAAAATAAATTATTTTCGGTTTTGTCATTTGATTAAAATGTTTGAGTGCCAGGGCAATGAGAAATTAATTGCCATACAGCAGCGTGGGGGGCTGGTGCCTTCAATCTTCGTTGTCCGTGGTGAGATTTTGACAGCTGTTGCATTTCTGTATTCTCTGGGGGGCGCCACGATTGAACATGTCAAATCAGTTCCAAATAACGTACATATGTATGTGCATACTATTACCCAGAATAAAACATGAAATTTGTATACAACGCGATGCAAAAGTTTTCCAAGGAACAACAGCGCAACACCCCAACATAACATCGATACCCGATTCTCTTCAGTTTCTCAGTAGTTCATCCCTTTGAGTGGACCTTTCGCATTCCTGCCTTCTTGGAGGGCTTGAGGACATAGAAGGAGCACATCAGCGTCTCATCCACAGACATCATGGCACCGGCATTGTCGAACTCCCCGCAGTAGTTGGGCGCCGAGAAGATGGTGATCAGCTGGCGCTTCGCAAAGAACTCGTAGCCGTCCTCCACGACCTGGTGGGCGCGACAGATCAGGTCGAACTTGTTGCGATGCACGAACTTGCCAACAATATCGGCGCCAAAAGTGACACTGACGCCGCGATCATTGTCGCTCCAGCCCATGATCTTGGGATCCGGGTCGGACCACAGCAGATCACAGAGCAGACCTTTGTCGGGCACATCGCAGGGCCGGCTGAGCTGCCCGATCTGGCTCATGCTGAGCAGGTCCGGACTGAGTCCGCCGTGGCAGCAGAAGATCTTCTCGTCGACGACGGCCGAAACGGGCATGCAGTTGTAGCAGTCGACAAAGGTGCGCCACAGCTTGATTGTGTAGCGGCGCTTGCACTCATCGTAGAAGCCGTAGATGCGGTTGATGCCGGCGCTCTCATGGTTGCCCCGCAGCAGAAAGAAGTTCTCCGGAAACTTGATCTTGTAGGCCAGCAGTAGACACAGCGTTTCGATGGACTGCTTGCCCCGGTCTACGTAATCGCCGAGGAAGAGATAATTGGATGACGGCGGATATCCGCCGTAGTCGAACAGTCGCAGGAGGTCCGTGAACTGGCCGTGGATGTCGCCGCATATCTTCACGGGAGCGGATAGCTCCAGCAGCATGGGCTGCGAGAGGAACACCTCCCGCGATCGCATGCAGATCCCCCGAATCTCAGACTCTGAAAGACTGAGCTGCTTTACGCGTCGCACATCGATAATCTTGTGTATCAGCTGATCAATGTTGCCCGCATCCGTCGCAACGACACTAGCCGTCATTTCCGGTTGCTCTGGTGTCTGGTATCCTACAACTCAATGTTAATTTTGCCGCTCTGAAAAGCCAACGGTTTTCGGATGGAAACATATGGAATGACATTCCCATCGGGGCCTGCCCCGGCCTGAGACAAAGTCACTTGATGGCCGAGGCGATCACATTTTTTATTATAACTTTGTGACCGGTACTGGGACGCTGTACATCGAACGAGATCATCAAATCCTTATCTATGCCCATCGAGGCCCCCGCATTGTCGTACTGCCCGCAGTAGTTGGGCGCGGAGAAGACAGTGACCAGCTGGCGCTTTGCGAAAAACTCATAGCCATCTTCAACGACCTGATGGGCCCGACATAGCAGATCGAAGTCGTACTTATGCAGGAATTTCTCGAGCACGTCCCGGCCATAGAGGTAGCTCACTCCCCGGTCACTCGGCGACCAGCCGAAGCCATACCGATCCGGGTCGCTCCACAGCAGGTCGCACAGAAGACCCTGGTCGGGCACATCGCAGGGCCGCGATATCGACTTGATGTTGTTCAGGTCCTTTAGCTGCGGGCTCAGACCGCCATGGCAGCAGAAGATCCGATTCGAAATGACCGCAGCCACGGGCAAGCAACAGTAACAGTCGACGTAGCTCTTCCACAGCTTGACCGTATAGCGACGCTTGCACTCGTCGAAGAATCCGTATACCCGGTTCACTGCGGGCGCCTCGTGGTTGCCACGCAGCAGGAAGACGTTCTCGGGATACTTGACCCGCAAGGCCAGCAGCAGGGTGATTGTCTCGATCGAGTTCTGGCCCCGATCCACATAGTCTCCGAGAAAGAGATAGTTGACCAATGGCGGATAGCCTATGTGATCGAAGATGCGCAACAGGTCCACGAATTGTCCGTGAATGTCGCCAACGACGCGCACCGGAGCCTCAACAGACAGGAGCATTGGTTCTCCCAGCAACATCTCGCGGGCCGTGTGGATTAGCTGGTACAGCTCGTCCTCGAGCATGCTTACGCGTGTCTGCTTGGATTTCCGGAAGTTCTTCAATCTGTTGATCAGATCGACCAGATTCCACCCTTCTGCATCAGATACTGAGCTTCGCAACAGGCTGTTGTGCACTATGCTGGATTTCCTCTTGCTCTCCTCCAGCTGCGCAGACAGTGTCGAGAAGCGGGTTTTGGCCCCGGGGAAAAATATTGAGCCACTCGACATTTTATGGCCAATTAGTGTCTGTGTAGTGTAGTGTGTACTGTCTAAAAACGGAGTCCCTCATACAGTCTTTACAGAATTTAATAAATATTTGAAAGTCAAGAAAAATACAATTTGACAGTTCTAGTGGAGAAACGTTTGGAGATCGCCGGACGCTGATGCTGAACCATTACACAATCCACAGTAAAGAGCCATTAGAGAATCGTTTGATATTATAAGAACGATCATAAGAAGGGTTATATGTACGCATACGTGAGATCTTAACTCTTTTAAGACCCTTTTTCCTCCTCTAAAATATTTGTTAACAACCCGGAAACCCTAGCAAAGATCACGTATGTGAGGAAACAATTGCCAGCTAAGAGCAACCATGTAAAATACGTTAATGTTTTGTTAAATTTTGATGATCTGACACTAAAGAGGTCCACGCTCGTTGAGAACAGAAGCAATCTTGGATCGAGGCGAGCGCAGTGGTTCTCATGGAACGATCAATACTGCAAAAGAAGCTGGACGAAATGATTACGTCGCTGGTGAACTGGAAGGCTGACAAACGGATGCAGGTTCCGGAGACGGACATGGTGGCGATGCTGAACGTGGCCCGACAGGTGCTGCTGTCGGAGCCCATGCTGCTTGCGGTGCAGCCGCCCGTCAATGTCATCGGGGACATACACGGCCAGTTCCGGGACCTTCTGCGCTACTTTGAGACATCGGGGCATCCACCGACCAAGCGTTACCTGCTGCTGGGGGATTACGTGGATCGGGGCCAGCACTCGGTGGAGACCCTGACCCTCCTGCTGGCCTACAAGGTGCGCTACCCATCCAGCGTTCACCTGCTGCGCGGCAACCACGAGTCGGCCAGCATCAACCACTACTACGGGTTCTACGACGAGTGCAAGCGCCGCTTTACAGTGCGTCTGTGGAAGAACTTTGTCGACTGCTACAACTGCCTGCCCGTGGCGGCCGTGATCGACTCGAAGATATTTTGCTGCCATGGCGGGCTGAGTCCCTCCCTGCACGAACTTTCCGACATACGCAACATCGAGCGGCCAGCGGAGATCAAGCAGAACGGACTGCTGTGCGACCTCCTCTGGTCCGATCCGGATCCGACCGTCAACACCTGGACGAAGAACTCGCGTGGCGTGAGCTTCACCTTTGGCGTGGAGCAGGTGGAGGCGTTCCTCACGAGGTTCAACTTTGATCTGGTCTGCCGTGCTCATCAGGTCGTCGAGGATGGCTACGAGTTCTTTGCCAAGAGGCAGCTCATCACCGTCTTCTCGGCGGTCAACTACTGCGGGGAGTACGACAATGCCGGCGCCATGATGTGCGTGGACCCCGATCTCAACATCACACTGGTGGTGATGAAGCCCAAGAAGCACGACGCTCATCACAACAAGAGACCCATGACGGAAGGTGCCACACCGAACATGTTGATGGACTGACACGACATGAAAATTGTGTGAAAAAGTATTCTCTTCTTTACACTTCATGTACTGCATTGTACAGATTCTTAAATATACAACACAAATATAAACTGAATATGAGCTTATTTTTGCGCAAGCCAAACATCGAGGGCATCATAAGAACCCTCGTGTGCGGACGCCGGCAGTCGAAGCGGCCGATCAGCCAAAAGGATATAATGAGTGTCTGCCATATGGTCCGCAGTGTCTTCCTGCAGGAGGCGATGTGCCTGCGGGTGAATGCCCCCATCTGCATTGTGGGCGATCTTCACGGACAGTTTGAGGACCTCCTGCGCATCCTGAATAACTCCGGCCATCCGCCACAGCAGAGTTACCTTTTCCTCGGCGACTACGTAGACCGCGGCCACCGCTCCGTGGAGACCATCACGCTGCTCTTCTGCTACAAAATCTGCTACCCGGACAAGATCTTCCTGCTGCGCGGCAACCATGAGAGCGAGGTGCTCAACCAGGTCTACGGCTTTTTCGACGAATGCAAGCGCCGCTACACGGTCAAGCTGTGGAAGACCTTCGTCGACTGCTACAACTGCATGCCAGTGGCGGCGATCGTCTCGAAGCGGGTGTTCTGCTGCCACGGCGGCCTAAGTCCCCACCTGAGCTGCATCGAGCAGATCAACCAGCTGAAGCGCCCCACCGAAATACCCAGCGAGGGCCTGCTCTGCGACCTGCTGTGGTCAGATCCGCACCACACGGCATATGGGTGGACGCCGAACAAGCGGGGCGTGAGCGTGTCCTTTGGTCGGGACACGATCGAGCGGTTCCTCGTTCGGAATGACTTCGATCTCATCTGTCGGGCCCATCAGGTGGTCGAGGATGGCTATGAGTTCTTTGCCAAGCGCCAGCTGGTCACCGTCTTCTCGGCCCCCAACTACTGTGGCATCTTTGAAAATTCCGGCGCCACTATGAAGATCTCAGAAAATCTAACCATTACTTTCGACATCTATCCGGCAAAGAACTCCACCCCACATACCTCTACTTCGATTCGGCTGGGTCCTCGGGAGAGTGGCAAAGTCTTCAGGGCTGCTATGAGGATTAAAAATGCAATTAAACCACCTCGCTTCCAACGCTCCAGTGAATATTAGTATCGATACCTAGGGTATGCGAAAGTACTTAAACATATTTTGGCTGAGAAATAAAATCCGTTTACTTGTAAAGATTAAACTCGGTTCTTAAAGTACTGTCTCCCTTTTCTCCATATATATCGATGTAATTTCCGCATCAGTTTGCGCTCCAGCACCGACAGAATATTGCAACACATGTGGCATGGACACGGACAGTGCGGCGAAGGAGCAACCAACGGAGCCCACTTCGTCATCATCATCGGCAGCTCTGTCTGAGGTGCGTACGTGTCTTTGTCGCTTTATTAGTTCGTGTCGCATCGTGTCCACAGGAAATTAAATTAACTCGAGCAGCAAATTCAATTTAATTTTAGCAGCATACAGAACAAAAGCAAAAATTATGCACTGTATTTATTTAAAAGTAATGAATATTAAGAAGTTTTTAAAAGGGGAAATTATTGATGACAACTTGGGGGTCTTTTCGACGATAGCTTTTGAAAGGTTGTTGGATAGAGAGTGCAAATATATGCCACTGTGAGAGGCACCCTTTGCTTAATCAAATAATCCAACCAAAATCGAGTAGCTTCAAAAAAAAAACGAACATCTGGCATTCGACTAAACCCCGACAATCGAATTTGTTCAGCCACAAAAAATACAAAACATTCAAAACATAGAGAAAGCGATACACATAGAGCCGCGGCATTATTTAAATTGATTTTTTACAAAATCAAGTTGATTGTTTTACAAACAGGGTGGGGGGGGGAGAGCAAATTTATATTCTATGTTGGTATCTGGGCTTAAGCGATATTTATTTATGGCCACCAACTTGTTTGCAGTCCCTGCTCCCTGGATCCTCGCTCACCAGTCGCCTCCCCTGCTAGAGGGAGCTTATTTTTTATTTATTCTCTCATAGAAACAATTGCACAATTGATTTGCATGCATACAAATTTGTTACAGGGTTTTAAGCCGAATGATTTATGGTTACGTGGATGCGAAAATATTTTATACTCGCCTCTTTTCGTGCCGTAACCAAACTCAATTTGAGGTCAAAGAACTTGAGAAATGCTTTTAATTCAGTTATATAAATGGGAAATCTTTTGGGCTAATCTGCTTGAATGGAGCTACTGCTGCTAGCATTGTATCTATCCATCTGTATCCTCTCTATTAACGCATACGCAGCGTATTCCGGAAGTGCAACCAATTTACATTGCAGTTGGCAAACGTTTAACTATTTTTGGCGCATAGCGTCTACTTGGCACCATTTGGTCAGCTCCAAACGAGATATAAAACCTCACAAAAACGACAAATTCTAGAGACATTCCTATGGTCGAAGCTTTGGCTACCCTTGATTAGCTTTTTAGCTTTTCTTATGTCAAACAGGAATAATCTCAGACAGATAGCAGAATAATTAGAAACGTAGAAAGGGTCTTTTCTGAGACTGGTACTACATACCATACCAGAGTATTTGACAGTGCCGGTTATACCTTCTTCTACCCTCAGTATAGAACTTTAAAAATATATACAAATAAATTAAGCAATCACATGCTATAAAAACGGACAGAACGCAATGCGGAGAGGAATTCTGTGTGGCGCCAACAGGGTTGCCAGGCGCCACACTGACGGCCCTGGCCGTGGCCAAGGGGGCAACAACCCTGGCGCTTCATGGTTTTCTATTAAATTCATTTCTTTGGCTACGCTTTTTTTTTGGCGTGAGATAGACAAATGTAAAGAGGAAGTGGAATGCATGACTTGCCCTAAAGGAAATTTCGCAATTTTTTGGTGACCCAAAACCGGTCAGTGCGAAAAGCGTTTGAATAATGGTCGGAAAGGGTGTGGAAAAGTGTGTTAGTTGGACAGGCGTCCCATGGGAGGGGAGGAACATACCAAAATTTGTGATTTAAAATTAAAGAACTTTCAGAAAGTCACGTAATCCGTTCCAGATGGAATGGGCCAGTCTCGCGAATTCTGCACCTGGGCCTTAGGACATGTAATGCATTTGGATTGCCGCTTAATTAACCATCACGTGCCTCTGACCCCCAGCTGTGGTGTCAGGTGTGGCAAATATTTGGCATGTGGCGCCTCTCGCTCTCTGCACTCCACTTAATTAGCATTTGGACTGCATACATATACTGGTACATATATTAATCCCTCCATAACTTAATGCAATGCAAAACACGCGCCAGGCCCTGGCCCTAGTTCTAATTTATGTTGGTAAATGATAAAGTAAATGGCAACGATTACATGGGGTCATATGTTTGGATTGTACCACGTCTGAACGATAATGGGCCACTGCCCAGGGCGGCTCTGAGTCACTCTAAACGACTTGAACTATCTACTAACTATTTTTTGGGGTAAGGCTACGATTTATTGAACTGGCAGACTTATCAGCCAGAACAGAACGGAAGCAAAGTAGAACAACCCTCTGACTAAGTCAGTTGGTCAATGGAGCCACCCCCAGATCGCCAAGGATGTTAAGAGTAAACGATGCTGACACTGACACAGATAGCAGGACCTTCGGGGGTGGGACTGCGACTGCGACTGGGACTGGGACTGTTGACTGGTGCCAATTTTCTGTTGATTACAACACTACACTCCCACCCACCTATCGCCCCCAGTGGCTTGACAAGGGTCAAGTGAAAGTTTTACGAGCAACTAAAGCTAAACTGTGGCCCCACCCATGCTCCAATCTCTGGTACGCGTAGCCGTAGCCCTTTGCTCTAGTCTCTGCCGTCTATTTATTTTTAAGTTTAATTTGTTTTCCTGTCGCCAAAGGGAAAGGAATAAACAGAGGAAACACCTCTAAGTGGGTCGGACAGCAGCAGCAGCAGATTTATCTAGTGCAAACTTCAGACAAAAAATAGGTGTGAAACGATAACGAAAGGGAATCGAACCACCTTGACAGGGCTGCGGCTGTGGGTGACATAACTGAGTTTCGAAGGGATCTTATCGGGTTATTTATCAGGGAGGAATGATGGTGGGGACAGTTACTAAGATACGATGGTCCAACGGTTTTAGAGCATACAGTCGAACTTCTCTATTACGAACCCTATTGCGAACAACGAAGTTTTCTGTACCAAGAATTTTCCTTATAGCGAATTCACCCAGAGATTGGCTATATGGAATATCGACTGTACTTTGTTTCCAAACAGGGATAGACCTTCAATCTGTGCTGAAGTTAATTCGCAATAAAAAACTTTAATCAGTCCATCCGACACATCCAATCACAGCCACCACGTGCTCCTCTAAAGGGCAACAGCCACCGCAAATTCCTCGCCCAAGTGCAACAACTTTAGTGAGAGATATTTCATATCTTTCCAAAAATTGTCCCCACAAAACCCCCAAAGCTCTGTACTAAATTTTCAATGCAACGGACGGAGAGAGGGAGAGATGAAGTGGTCTTCCGTCAGGGTTTTGGCATTGCTGCCAAAATCATACATCAATTTGGAGACATTCGTCAGTGCCAGGCCACAAATGTGACATGGACCAGAGTCAGAGGACCATGCCATGCATTTCCCTCGCGGAGCATGCCACCACAACCAGCAACCAGAGAGAGAGAGAGAGAGCCAGACAGGAAAGGGGGGGCTGAGGCAGCAGAGGTACATGGCTGCAACATTGTCAAAACAATTAATCATTGATGAAGAAAATGCGCACGGAACCAGCAAATTCCTGACCGAATGCCAGGGCTCACATCTGGACTCTGATGGACCAAATTCCATTGCAGAATCAGGCATACGAGCAAATTCTTCATTATATAATGAACAAGACCACAAACTAGACACATTTTGCCATGATTATTTTAATTAGTAATTGGACCAATGAATATCAACATAGCCATTTGAGCCGCCACAGGACGCTTGGGGATTACCAATCGAGAGGAAATCAAATCTAAACAAGACACACAGTGAAACTAATAATAATCTTGTTAACTGGGCCGGAATGTTCAAATTGTACCCACATTGGTATGCTAATCAAAATAGAACCTTCATTTGAAGGCATTCAAATTATTAAGTAACTTCTGCGGCTGACATGTGACATCTATCAAATATCAAGATTCTCTGTATCACATTTATATGTAAGCTAATTATAACATTTCTCCCCTTATACACATCCATAAACCCATAATAGCTCCTATTGCTGGCCGGCTTTTATCGTGATTTTATTATTCAATTTTTGCATTATTTAAATATGTCAACAAGCAAGATTTTTATGGCACCAATTTATTTGTATTTCTTTTCCATTATGTGTAATATCGGGTCAGCTTTGATGCCTTCTTTACGATGCCATTCCCATCGAATTAACGAGTCGTTAGGGGGCATTATATATGCAATCGATAGAGAGAAAAGGAGGACAAGTTCCTTTCCAAAATCTGAATCACCTGTCGCTAGCATTGAAATTGATTTTTATTATCACGATCCGTGTCAATTGGAGCATTTAAAAATGCCATTTAATGTTCCCATTTCCATACCCATCCCTGTCTGTTCGTAGGGGTTCACCGCTCTTTGTGACTTTTGTTTGCTTTTCAGGTTGTTCAAAACAAACTCTCAAAGTGACTAAGCGTGTAACGCCTCTGTGGCCCTGTCCATAATTATTTAAAAGTTAGCAAAGTCTCGAGGCTGGCTATTTCCATTTGACTTTGATGTGCCGTCTGTACTGCTTCAAAAATTAGATCGATATTGCACTATTGCATTTTTATACAACAGCTACTTCTCTGTGGGATGATCAATTTAATCCCATAGCTGTGTGCGCCCTTCCGTTGGGTCTGGCATAGCATTACCCTGTAATTAATCCATTATGCCGAGAGGCTTGCGTGAGGCGCTTCCATTGCATGCCACTCGAGAATCGCATGCAAATTATTGAAAGCATGTTGAGCATGCCCAAAAAATCATTTACATTTTTTCACCGACTCTTTTTTGCTGTAGTTTTTTTTAGCAGCTCTTTCAACAAGTACAAGTCATAATCGGTATTTGCAAAAAAAAAAAAAAAAACCAGAAAATAAAACTGAAATCGCGTGCTGGTGTGGAAAGTACCAGCAACAGTAGGTTGCAACTTGAAACTTTGCAAGACGACTACGACGACGACGACGATGATGATGGCTGTTGCATGTCGGGCAAAGTTTTTAGCATCGAATGAGGAAAAACTTCATTTTGACCTTCGATGGAGTGGCGCTTTTAAGACGTTTTCCTGAGTTCTGTGGCTGTTTCCCAGTCAAAGATGCGGAAACTCTTGATCAAAACGACACCAGACATTCGTGTCTGTGGCAGTGGCACTGGCATTACCTTTTGCCGCCACTTCTTCACCCATTCACAGGACAGGCAAAAGTTCTTTTGGTTTCGCTATTTGCCCACGAATCCTTTGGGCTAGCCAGCGGACAGATGATAGCTGCAAACGAAACTTTGTATTCTAAATAGGTGGTAGTCGGAAAGGTAAAGCGAATGGAACTCGCAAATGGAATAACTAATTAAATTTTCAGCTGCCAATGAACAGGAGCTCATTCAGGAGCCACGGGCTTATGATAGTTCGGCTCCAGCTCCAGCCAGCTAACTGCCGGCTTAATTAACTTGGCAGATAAAATTTTATGGCAGCCGGGGCACTATGGATAGCAAAACATAATCTATTCGCTGTTATAGCCATGGTCTGAATGGTGCTCGTTCCCGTAATGGGGTTGTCTATGCAAATATGTTGCAATATCCCCTGCTCCACTACTCTCCTCAATGGCTTTTGCCTTTTGCCTTTTATTACACGGGTATTTCGGTGGCTGGAGGTCCAGGGTCTTCAATATTTTCCTGCAACACCTTTCCACTCTGTGCACATAAATCAAAAGTGAAATTTTTTGCACGCACCCGACTGTCTGTACAAAAATTTTCCATTTACATGTGCCACGCCATGTTCTGGTGGAAAGTAGAGGTCAGGTCGTGTCGACCCTCTACCATTTCGTACATAATTGTTTTTTCGTGGTTTGCCCCTCTGTGTGGTGATCCTTAAAGCTACAATATTAACTCGAAAACTGTGCTGGCACTAGTTAAAGGGAATTTTATTTGTATCTGAATTCTGTAATATATCTGAATCTGTTGCAAGGAGCTATTTTCAGGTTAGGGAGGGTACTGTTTGGGAGCTGAAAGCGTCAAACCTCATCGAAATCCAGGTCTGGGATCAGAGAGAAGGTGGTGGTCCCTGATGGTTCCTCTGGCAGATGCCATTCGGGCACTCGCCCTTCATGCAAATGCCATTAGTGCAGATGCATCCGCCTTGGCCTTTGGGGCAGGGGCACGCCCCGGACTCCGAAGCTGCCTGCAGAGCCTCCAGGCGGGAATTGCTGCCGCAGGAAGGGATTTGGCTGGAGCTGCCATTCGAGCTGGACGTCTCCATGGTTACTGTAAATAGCTCAATATTTAAATGGGACTAGGGAATTTATATTCTATATTCGTATATTTACCTAATAATTTTTTTGAATTTTTTTGAAAAGTGAGAAAGCAAATTGATGTGCTTTCTACTCTCAAATTTGATGTGAATGATGTTTCTCTAAGGTATGTGCTCTATACTTTGTGGAGACTCCGACACAGAAAATGTCAGTTTTCGGAGCGAGTCCATAGCCTACTGAAGAGCTGATTACCGATTGTGATACCTCTTTATCACTTACCGACCCTTTTTTCTCTCCCATTTTGATGGACCTTCCTTCGGTAATTGCCCGAGCATGAGGCATGTTTAATGAGCGCTTAGTAGTTGGCAACATCTAATGTGCATATTACAATGCCAATTAACATATTTTGCCATCGTGTTTAACAAAGCCAACGACCCAGGCGGTGCACAGGCAGTACCCAGGCAGGTCCAGTGTTCGGTCTAGAGCTCCAATCAGTCGCAGGCAAAACTTTGTTGGTGGTCACGTTGCCACAGTCCAGACCCCGGCTGGGCCTTGCATAATTGCGTCGCCAAGTGCAGCCAGGTCTGTGGCGTCTGCTCTTGCCTCTACCTCATCGCATACCCGTAAATAACCCAACGCAACACACACACACACTCCCATTTAAATGTACGAGAGTCCATGTAGAGGGGTATGAAAGCTGTGGGTTTTTTTTCCGTTTCGGTTTTGTCTAGTCCCCGGCATTATGCAAATGGCACTTTGTTTTAACTGCGTGCACTGCGGTCGGGCATGGGGCATGGGCCTGGGCCTGGGCCTGGCTATGATGTGTGCCTGTGCCCGATGACCAGTCCTCGAGCTGACATTAGTTCGTCATCATCATCAACTCCACCTCCAGCTCCATCTCCAACTGCAACTCCAACTCCTCTCGCCATGCATTTGCCTACAGCATTACGCGGACAATTAATATGCCAAGTGTTATGTGTGCGCATACTAATGACTCTCCACGCTCCATGAAGAGAGTGCCCATGCAGACTCCACTGTTCGCTCTGGACTCCACTCCACTCATCCATCAATTGCTGTTCATCTCTGGAGCGCAGGCGCAGCAGGCGCAGCAGCAGCAGCAGCGGGGGCATCATGAGTGGCGGCGCCGCCTCCACAGCGTTGCAAGTGGGGGCTACGGCTACTTAGGGCCTTGACCAATATGACTCATGACGTGACCGGACACGTGCGGCTGCCATGTCGGTCGCATCGTTAATCTCCCCACACAATTGCCGGCTAAGGAAAGTCTTCCCTGACAGGTTCACGTCTTGGGGGCGGGCACTTTTATGGCGATTGCAGTTTTTGCTTTGCTTTCTGAAGAATCAGATCTGTGCATCCACTAGATCACCCTGTATCTCACAAGTATTCCACAATAGATGGTGAATCTGCTATGCAAACCACGTAAATGGTGTAAGTGGACAAAAGCCTCGTTTTAGGTGTGTTGTTGTCGACGACACACTAAAGAAAACCAGCAACAAACGATACCCCAAAAAACAACAGAGAATAGCCCCAATAATATAAATCAAAAGAAAGTAAAATTACGATGCGTCGTATTGAATCACACAGATACTCATGCGCACACACTCACGCATGGGCAGCAGAAAAAAAAATGAATTTCAATAAATTTTGAAGCGGGAAATAAAACTTTCGCTACTTCAGTGGCGCAAAAAATAAAACACAATCCAAAAGTAGAGTATGAGTGTGATGAGTGGTTGCTGGCGCTGGCCGAGAGTGTGGTGCGATTGTGTGTGGTCAAGCCGGGTGCCCCGAGGCGCCCACGCATGCGCAGAATACAAATGCAAATCCGCATGGGAGAGTGTCTCGGTCTCGGTCTCGGTCTCTGTCTCTGTCGCTGTCTCTATCGCGCTGTCTGGTTGAGTGTGCGAGCTACCAAGCGACCGACTGAGGTTGTGCGGATTGGCAAAGTGGACGTGCCACCGGCCAGAACCACTTTTGTTGCTCGGCCATGGGAATTTGGGTGAAATGGGGCTGGCTGGCTTTCAAATATCGTTTCTGCCTGTTCAGTTCGCCAATAGCCACGGCAGTCGGTGGTGTCGCTCTGGAGAAAGCAAAGCCACAGCCGAATCAAAAGAGTTTAGTGAAATGAGTAGAGCTTCGATTGGACTAGTGATCTGCCTGGTGCTGGGCCTGGGCCTGGGCCTGGCCCAAACCTTTGCCGAGGAGCAGCCATCTCGTCCGGAAGCCACACCGGTTTCGCCCCTTCTAAAGCAGTCCCAGAACACCTTCATCCAGTGGGTGCTATCGCTGCTGCCTCAACGTCCGGGCAGTTCCGATGCCGAGAACGCCACGCTGGCCACCCTGAGCAGCAGCTCCACGAAGCCGGAGCCCGCGAGCAGCACCACCACCTCGACGACGCCAGCGCCCACCTCCAGCACCACCACCACCAGGCGGGCCACGACCGCGGCGCCACCCACCCTCAGTCCGCCGCGCAACTGCACCGACTGTGTCTGCGGGATAGCCAACATCCAGAAGCGGATTGTCGGGGGCCAGGAGACGGAGGTGCACCAGTACCCCTGGGTAGCCATGCTCCTATACGGCGGTCGCTTCTACTGCGCCGCCTCGCTGCTCAACGACCAGTTCCTGCTCACTGCCTCCCACTGTGTATACGGCTTCCGTCGGGAGCGGATCACCGTGCGCCTGCTGGACCACAACCGGAAGATGTCCCACACCCAAAAGATCGACCGGAATGTCGCGGAGGTGATCACACATCCCAAGTACAATGCCCGAAACTATGACAACGACATAGCCATCATTAAGCTGGACGAGCCCGTGCAGTTCGATGAGGTACTGCATCCCGTGTGCATGCCCACGCCGGGTAGAAGCTTCAAGGGAGAGACGGGCATCGTCACTGGCTGGGGCGCTCTCAAGGTTGGCGGTCCCACCTCGGACACCCTTCAGGTGAGCATGATTCTCCATCGGAGACTGCCTTTCCGACTAAAATGTTCATCTTTTGTTTCCTTTAGGAGGTGCAGGTGCCCATCCTGTCGCAGGACGCGTGCCGCAAGAGTCGTTACGGCAACAAAATCACGGACAACATGCTTTGCGGTGGCTACGACGAGGGTGGCAAGGATTCCTGCCAGGGCGACAGCGGCGGTCCGCTTCATATCGTGGCCAGCGGAACGCGAGAGCATCAGATCGCCGGTGTGGTCTCTTGGGGCGAGGGCTGTGCCAAGTCCGGTTATCCTGGTGTCTATGCCCGCGTGAATCGCTACGGCACCTGGATCAAGAATCTCACCAAACAGGCTTGCCTCTGCCAGCAGGAGACCAAGAAGATCAAGTAGTTCTAGTTCTAGTGTGTTCAGTAGTCTTGCTTTAATACTCTGGCCAGCGAAGATGAGCGGCGAATGGAGTCCCAAAACCCAATTTATCCTCAGCAAAACTGTCGATTGAAAGATAGGTTTTCATTATGACAAAACCTATTGTTTCTGTTACAAAAACAACTTATATCTTAGGAAAGTAGGGCTTTTTCCCAAAGAAAAAAGCTTAAGACTTTCTTGAGATATGGATCCCCGCCAGGAAGTTGAATGAAATCGGCTTCCGTCTCTGCCAGAGTATTCCAGCTTCGGCTCTGTCGAAGATCACATTCTCAAGCTGTTTTATATTTATTGATTAAAAGAAAATTCGCTACATGGAAATCTCTCTCGGCGAGGCATTCACCTTTCCCTGAAGCCGGTTCTTCTGGTTTTTCAGCCGGTTCTAGTTCTTGGTTCTATTTGTAGTCATCTTTCTGATCGTGGTCTTGGCCAGGACGCTTTCGGTTAGTTGCCAACTGCCAGTTGGCCAGAAAAGTTCGCCATGAGGTACATTTGTCTGCTGCTCCTCGTTGTGGCTCTGGGCGATGTGGGTTTTGCCACGCCCCGTCTGCGTAGCTCCGCAGAGCCAGCCAAGATTCTGGAGTCGCTGAGCAATATCAGACAGAACAGCTTCCTCGACTGGATCACCTCAATCCTGGGGCCGGAGTACTCCGACTCCAGTGTCCCGGCCAAGAGGGAGTGCGCGTCCTGCGCCTGCGGTAACATCAACACACGCCACCGCATCGTCGGGGGCCAGGAGACGGAAGTGCACGAGTATCCCTGGATGGCAATGCTGATGTGGTTCGGCAGCTTCTACTGCGGCGCATCGCTGGTCAATGACCAGTACGCCGTGACCGCGGCGCACTGCGTCAACGGGTTCTACCACCGTCTGATCACGGTCCGCCTGCTGGAGCACAATCGAATGGACAGCAATGTGAAGATCGTGGACAGGCGGGTGGCGCGTGTCTTCATCCATCCCGGCTACAGCACCCGCACCTTCGACAGCGACATTGCCCTGATTCGCTTCAGCGAGCCCGTGCGCCTAGGCATCGACATGCATCCCGTCTGCCTGCCCACGCCCAGTGAGAACTATGCCGGTCAAACGGCTGTCGTCACCGGCTGGGGCGCCCTGAGCGAGGGCGGTCCTGTCTCAGACACCCTGCAGGAAGTGGAGGTGCCCATACTCACGCAACAGGAGTGCCGGGACAGCAACTACGGCGACAAAATCACCGACAACATGATCTGTGCTGGATTGGTGGATCAGGGCGGCAAGGACTCCTGCCAGGGCGACAGCGGTGGACCCATGCATGTCCTGGGCGCCGGACAAGCCTATCAACTGGCGGGCGTTGTGTCCTGGGGCGAGGGCTGTGCCAAACCCAATTCCCCAGGCGTTTATACTCGTGTGAGCAACTTCAACGAATGGATCGAGGAAAATACCCGCGATGCCTGCGCCTGTTCCCAGGCTGAAGAGCCGGCCGAACCAGTCTCCTCCACCAGTACCAGCGAGCAGCCTTTGGCAGAATCGGAGAGCACCACAGCGGGCGGACAGGTCACTGAAGGTCCTGAAGTGGAGGAAGCTAATAAATTGATCTAAGATTACACGCTATATTTTCCACTTATATATTACGAGTAATACGAGCAATAAAGGCAATTTTTCCCAGAGCCCATGAAAAAACAGCATTTTCACAGTTCCACAAACATGTTTTCTCTACTGGGATGATTCAAACGAGTTTTACGTAGAACAACAACAATTATTCCAAGTAATGTGTACATACATTGTACGTAATACATTGCTTTCTCTGTATTGGATTCTTGGCTTTCTGCAGGGTTTCTGGTAATTGGTTCTCTCAATCTCTGTATCTTTCGACTCGGCTCACTTCAGTGGAGCCTCTGGTTGTTCCAGTTTCGGCTTGTTAGCTCCACTCTCGCTTCAATTTCCGCCTGTAATCTGCTGTTTTCAATTCTACCTTTGGGGCATTCCACGAAATTGCCACTAAATCAAAAAATACTCATACTCCAATGGATCCAGCCCTAGCAACCGCTGCAGACACCTACACTCGGATCGTATCGGATCGAACCGGTCCGCTCTGCGTGCCTGTCCCATCGGTCCTGTCCTACACAACATTGATAAACAACTGAATAATAGAATAAGCAGCTGAAAAAAGGTGCGAAAAGTTTAAAGGCGGCTGAAAGGGAATAAAGGAAAAACCGCATTCGCAGATGCCCTATAGAAATGGCACTGGCAAGAATGCACCAAGACTGAGGGACCATGTAAGGGCTTCGACTGCCAACACACATGAGACCCCCTGACGCAGGACAAGCTGCTGCCAATAATTGCCATACCCTTTCTTAAGGGTATAGGAAAGGCACCAAAAATTATGTTCATCCTCGAGCGCAGTGCAAATGTACGGCGTCTAAAATTGGCTTTTGTGGTAAAAACATTTTGTTGTACCGACGGTTTCTCGTCCTCCTCTGGCCAGGCTCAAATTTGCTGCAATTGAGCGGAGTTTTGTGTTGTTTTATTTGATTTTTTGCACTCTTGTTGGGGCCGCCGCAGGTTAGAAAAGTTTATTGGGGCGTAAAATTGTTTGATTGAATATTAGTGTGCGGCTTTGCTTTCGATGCCCAATCGAGGATTTTGCGAGTACGTGTATCGTACGAGTATAGAAGGGAAACGAAAAAATAAAACAAAAAATTTATTGGTAACTTTTGACAGGCGGTAAGCGATCCTCAGGCCAGACCCGTAATACGCAGAGTTTTGGCCACCGTATTGACAAAACGCAATATGCTGAGTAGGCCATACACCAGAATTTTCTCAATAACATGCAGCCCAAACTGTGCTATATTCGCAGCTGGCTGCAGAATTATTAGAGAATGATTATTAGCAAGCTTCGAATAGAAGTACAATTCTCACCTCAAGAAACGTCATGATCAAACTAATAGAACGTTCGGCGAGGATCACGGTCAGGCTCAGACAGATAATCAGCCCCAGTATGGTGACCAGGGTCAGAGCTTCCACTAGTCGCACTGCAACGGCCATTATGTGGAAGGGGCTTGGGTCCGCACTCGCACCGCCAAGTTTCAAAGATTCTGATTTTCAAATATTATTTTTTGCAGAAAATTTTCAAATAAATTTTTTAAGTAAACAAAATTTGACTGAGTACCTATCATGACGGAAAAACCTAGGGATCATCTCAAGCGAAAATTCGTGCTGGTGAAGGAGAAAGCACTAGAATGGAAAGCAGCAGAACGGAAAGCATGGAATAATGTTTATGAAAACCATATATATATAAACATCCCAAAAAATACCAGAAGCTCAAAGTGAAGGTCTTGACGCACTCAATCATCGTAAGAGATTGATGTGAGAGCTTAGCCCAGGGAATGCCCTATGAATTATCATAATTATTATCCTAATATATTCCACCATAAAATTAAGGTAAATCCCTCCCATTTTACTCTATGTCGATTCTTTTTAGATATCTCTTTTGTTACAGTTTTGAGCTCCATCAGTCATTATAGTTTTTCAATCATTTAAGCTCTATGTATTTTTTCCACACGCGACATTTTCCAATTACGCTATGCAAATGCAATTTGTCTGGACTGCAATTTAGGTTCCGTACCTACCAGCTTTCCTTTTTATTGGTTGGCTGATGGCTGATGGGTGTTGTCTGTGCCGCTATAGATTGCTCTGAATTATGGCACTAAATGGCTAGACATGCTACATAATTCATTTAGTCTGCACAGGGACAAATTCCATGATATGGAACATGTGGCTGTGTCTCTTTACTCTTGCAAACTCATCGCACCATTGTTCACTGGATTTATTTATTATTTTACTGGAGTATATTATGATATGGCAAATTCAATTAGCAGCCCACAAAGTGGTTGAACATCCAGCAACTGGGGCAAAAAATTAATTGATTTCCATGGGCATACAATATTCATATAGTCTTTTATTGACTATTCTGCTGGTTCTATGAAGATATTTTCCTGTTTTCTTTTGATTTTGCCTGCTTGCTTTTTGAGCTTTGACTTCATAAAAATCCCAAAATCAATATTTGCACACGTTGTCTGGAAAGACAGACAGCAGCATAAGCGAAAACTTTTTGTCGCAAATCCCCCACAGAGAGCTGGCCGTCTCTGTCCCCGGGGCATGCCCCAGCCTAAGTCAGGGGTAAGCCCAAAGACGAAATTAAAATAAAATGGAATAAACTCAAATAAAATACAATGTAGCTATCGCTACTTCTTAAATATATGACTGGCAATATTTACAATGCCTCATATTGGATATTTATTGTTATGTGAGGACTGTGAGTGCGGAAGAAGATTTTATAGGAGAATGGCTCCACTTTACACTGGATGGTTTTCTTTATTCTCTGGTACTCATAGAAGGTGAATAGATCCAGAAATACATACCCACTTCTGTATGTTTATTGCATTCCCAATGTTAGATCTACATAAATTGTTATGTGTATATCCTGTTGCCATACCCTAAGTCCACTAAGTAGAGTCCTCAAACCAGACACAAAATCGCACACTTTCCTTCAAGCTACAGAGTATCGTGAGTGGTGAATAAAAATCATTCCTACCCAGCTTGCAAACATCAGTATCCAGCGATGCAAGAAAAAAGAATGAAGGAAACAGAAATTGAAGACCGGAAAAGCCACCTGTTATCCGTACACAATATGTCGAATACATATTCGAAATGATGCGATGCTGAGTGCATGCCCCGAATGCCATTGAATTGCGATAAACTGTCGCCAGCTTGCCAGGAAGTTCAATCGTATCTGAACGCTTCAGTAAATCAGAAATAAGAATACCGGCATTTGGGGTAGAACTTTTTAAAAACTGATGGTCAAGGGATGACTCTTTAAAGACGATATGTACATCTATTGAGATTGTTTCCCCTAATTTCCCACATTAGTAAGCTTTTTTATGTGTTTAAACTTGAGGGTTACTAGACAGCAATAATTTCTAATTCGCCGAATGAAATTTTCTTCTTTTAACCAGCGAAAGCTCATTATAATTCCAAACGTGAAACGGACGAACCATTTTCCCAATGTCCCATCCCTGCCCATCCACAGTGTCCGCTCCGTGGAGACTTGTGTGTCCCTGTCTCTCAGTGGGATTTATTCCTTTGATTTCATTATTATTTTTATTGCTTCGTCGTACTTTTGCCTGTCCGACTGACTGAATTTCGAACCATCGCATTTTAATTTTATTATTTTGGTTTCGTGCCAGCTCCTCTGAACAAATTCCATTGAAATTCGCATAAAAAAGGGGTATTAAAGGCAGGGCATTCACTGATTGTGAACCATAGAAAAATATGGTTTCTTTTTCTACTTTGTGGAGAATAAAATATATATTTTTTTGGCACATTTTCAAGGCAGAGCCACAGATACACGCCCTCCACTTGCCACATTTTTATACAACTTTTGTTTTATTTCTCTTTTTGCATTCTTCGCCTTCTTATTAAGAATTAATAATCATTTTTTGTATCCAAAGCTAGCTACAAATTTGGCATTTTGTATTTTTTTATGATTTCTTTTCGCAGATGGGAGGCCTTGCCGCTCGTGAATCATGGTTATGCCGGCTATAATTTAGTTTTAATAGCATTTTCTGTGACATTTATGCTGTCAGCGCGTCATCCAATTTTATTAATGTCCCAATGAGCTCCGCTACATACTTATGATAGGACTGTATGATATCATTATGAAGAGATTTAATGCCATCGCTTGTCGTTGCTTGTCTTTGGGCTAAATGAAGTTATGGGCTTCTGTTTGCAATCGAGTGTAATACGAGTAGCTTTCGAGAGAGCTTGGGTTTGTTTTTGTAACGTGCCTTGAAAGGACTTTTAAGAGTACTTGAGAAAAGGCATTGTTTCTTTGAACTGATTCTTTATAAATTCTGACTCAGTACATCGTCATGGAATCCTATCCAGCTCAAACTCAAATTGCAATGGAGTTCTGTCCTGAAGACATATGTACATCGCTTTGGGGCTTAGTTACCAGTTTTTTTTTAGAAGGCATACTCCACCTTCTACAGCTGTAATCTGTTGAGCCCTGTTCTCGCTCTGTTAATGGCCCTGCTTACCCATTATGTTCCAAGTCGTTTGTACCATGTTAACACTCAGTTAATGGGTTCGCCTTTCCACTGCTATCCTCCATTGCATTTTCCATTTTCCACGTCCAGTGTCCCATCGTCGTTTTAATGAGGCAGCCACAAGGCAGAACTGCGAAACGTGAACCTAATCATCTCGGGCTCACTTAAGTAATAAAGCAATTTACCGCCTTTCAATATCCTTTAACCACTTTTTATCCGTTCTTAGGCTCTTTCCTCCCTGTGCCCCCGCCCCATTACGGGGATCCCTTGAGGGTGGGCAACTCCCACACAAATTATTTTCCTGCTGGTTTCCACTTTGTCCTCTTTTTGCGCTACTTTTCCTTCGTTTTATTGTAGGTCCAAAGAGGAGGCTGCTGTCGTTGTCGCCGTTTTTCCGACTTGGCCAGCAGCACACGTTGCCATTTTTATGTCTCAGGAGGAGAGCCAGCAGTGCAGGGAGTGGATCTGGAGGAGCCTCAGCGCAGGGAGTGGATCTGGGGGAGCCGCAGCGCAGGGACTGGATCTGGAAAGGGCAGATTGGTTCGTCGCCTGTGGCGTTGCCAGACCAGTTTGATTTTAGTGTTCGGATGTGGCTCTTCTCCGCCTCCGCCTGCCCCTCCTGATGCTGCTTCTGGTGTGTAATGATTTTATTACACGATTTTCTATCGAATTTTATTACCTTTGTGCATGACGTTGCGCCAGGATTGCGGCATGTCCTTACTGCCCGTGCAGCCCTTGCGGCCACCCAAATGGAATTTACGCACTCATAAAGTTTTCCCCCCTCTCGTGAATTGTGTGGGAATATGTCCGGTCAAACGTTAGAGTCCTATCTGTTTCCCCCTTCCGGTCATCATAATTCAATATCATAAAACGTTTATCCAATTAATTTCCCCGGCTAATATTTATGATCCGTTCGTGCGGGCATTCGAAGAGATATTTACATAGCTGGTGAGTATTGTGGGTTATAGTGCATATATGTATGGCTGGTTATTTATTAATATGTAGTTATGGATATTCATGCATTTTTGTGGAATATTTCTAGCTGCTAGTTGGTTGTATTAAAAGAGCTTACAATTCTATTACCTAAGTGAATAATTAATAGTTCAATAGACTAAGCCTTTAAGATTAAGTTCTATGGCACTCCTTTTCCCATATCCATGCCACACTTTTGTTCTGCCTGACAACGAACTGTCATTCATCCGTCAGAGATACATGATTAGAGAATTGTTCCGTTCTATGATCCACATTGATCTTGAAAATCTATCCAGCAAATGTATGGAAACCACGCTTCAATGGGTTTCAGTTCTCTATCTGGCATTCTATCTGCTTTGAGCTTCCTCTATCTCACTCTCTGCAGCTGCCGCTGACCTAAACGAGATAGATTTCCAATTACGACTGGGCTGCTGGCACTTTTGCTAATGAGGCACCCGTACACATTGCCCCCAGCCCTCTACATGCAACGATCCGCACCAAAACGGGGTAAACCTCATTACCGCTTGGCGTGGCTTCGCTTTTATTGTATTGAGTATCTCCCAGTGTTCCATGTGTTTTCCGCTTGTTGTTTGCTGTTGTTTCAGTGTCAAGTTCATGTTGGCCAAGTTGCATGCAATGTTTCAAATGGCCGCATGCCAAAAGTAATGGACTTCACTCCCCCCGCTGGCTCACTGTGGATTCCGATGGATGGTTGGATGATGACGATGACTTTGCCATTCAAAACACACAACAGATTCATATGTGGGTCGTGTTCAGTCACTAAATTATGGCGTCGGTTTCCATGTTTTCATTTTCATTCTCATTCTCATTATTTTTATTTGGATTTTGAATTTTGCAATGCAATGGTTTTATGGCGGGAAAGGTCTGGTTGGAGGTGGAGGTTAAGGGTTCAAACAAAGCTCTCATTAAATGCTGGTAATGTCTGTGAGAAATATATTTAATAGTGCTTTATTGTTGGTATCTCGTGTTTTATGATACATGGGCTTCTGCTTCCTTTTCGAATTTGTTTATGGAGCAATATTTGCA